TTATATTGGTTCTGATGAAGCTTTCTCAGTTTTAAAACATTGGAAGACACATTTGTCTATCCTCAAACAGTTGCTCACCTGCCTGTATTACCAAAAAAATAAAATAAAAAATACAACATGCAAGCAAAATACAGGACAAAATAAGCTATTAGTAGAGAAAACTCATGCTTTTTCGTTTGTCCGATGTGTTTTCTCTTTGATTATGGCATAAATTGTGCAGTCTTAAAGAAGAGAATGCAAATAGGATGATTGTTTACTAATTTATTTTATGAATCACATTTATGAGCCACATTCTTAAAATGAAAAAGCATTTCTGGAAATGCTTTTTCATTTTCAAATTTTTCATTTCAAATAGAATTTTTGTATGTATTTGCTGGGGTACATTTTGAAAAAATAAATCTCAAATGTCTTTTCCTTTTTCATTTAAATTAAGTAAAAGGATGAGCAGTCTTGAAGAAGAAAATAAAAATGCAAACAGGATTATTGATTACTAATTTCATTTATGAGTCAAACAGTGCAGCGACATTCTTAAAATTGAAAAAGCATTTGCAGAAATGCTTTTTCATTTTAAGAATCTGAAAATGCTTTTTCATTTTAAATATGTTAACGATTTGCTTCCATAGACAGAGGAAGCTGTTGTTATACAGCAGCCATGTAGAAACAACTACTTGGCTGTGATTGGATGAGCCGCTCAGTCTGGGTGGAGCTGGAGAACAAACCACGTGACTTTTTCAAAAGTTGCGCTCAGTGGGACAATAGAGGGAAAAGAAAGGCGGGAAACACCCAGGAAAGAATAATGCTCTATATATTTTACTATTTTAGATACCGCTGATGATCTGATCCTTTCATATAATGTAAAGCAGTCAGAATTGCCTTCTAATTACATTAATTGTTTCTCCCTCAGAATAGCATCATAGATATTTTCTAAGGTACATAAAAATCATGCTGAATCGTTTAATGACATGTTGGATATGGTTCAGGACCTGCAATATTTTGTTTTCTCATGTTATTTTATCAAACTAACAGGTTAATATAAGTGATGCATTAAACCATAATTAAACAGTTATTGAATGCATGTGTGGCATTTATTATTTCTCAATCTTAGTATTTCAGTTTAATGTTCAAATTTACATTTGTGAATGATGAAAATATGTTGTATTAATGCAGGGGTTTTCTTTTAGATTCATACGTATAAATAATAAAAGAAAGTCTGCAACGCTTTGATAATAAATTGACTTCTTTTTGAGGAAACTCTCGTCTGCTGGATGGCAAAACATGATAGGGTTGCTCTGTCAATATTGTTAACTGCTTTACTGTAAAAATAAACACTTTTCAGTTTTTCCCTCCAATTTTCTGAGACCCTACTGCATCCCCTTTGATAACCACTTGTCTGCAGCAGTGTGGTTTTATGGCCCGAATACACTAAAACAAAAGTCATTTTCAAATCAATGATTTAAAATAACTGCATTCTAACAGATAAAATCAATTAAAGCCAATGATGTGTAATGTATTGATGAAGGCAGCATGGAGAGGTTCAGCTCTTAAAACGGAGTGTGTGGCTCTTAAAAGAGCCGTTGTGGGGCTGTGTCCAGCAGCAGCAGCGGCTTGGTGGCTTTACTTGGCCTTAGCGGCCTTCTCGGTCTTCTTGGGCAGCAGCACCGCCTGGATGTTGGGCAGCACGCCGCCCTGAGCGATGGTGACTCCGCCCAGCAGCTTGTTGAGCTCCTCGTCGTTGCGGACAGCCAGCTGCAGGTGACGGGGGATGATGCGGGTCTTCTTGTTGTCGC